CACACACACACACACACACACACACACACACACACAAACATCCCCTTACAAAAGAAAAAGTGACAGGGCCTTAAACCACCGGTACATGGGCACATGGGCCGCGGGCCTGACACCTCAAATTCTGGAGGCTCGAAACGAAAACACGACCGCCAATCGAATCTATCAATGGTGGGCCCAGCGTTTGACGTTTCGGCCTCGTTTTCTTGTGGCGACAAGTTTCGGACTGCAAGGCTGGGGCCGTGTACTTGTGGTTTAAGATTCGGACTCCGTTCTTTTCTAGATAGCATCAGTGTCCACTGGCAAGTCAGAGAATTACAAGACACCCAGCACACACTTCCTCTCATTTTATCACCCCGCCAGAGGATCCATCAACAACATAGAGGAAGCGTGTACTGGGTGTCTTGTAATTCTCTGACTTGCCAGTGGACACTATGGCATCCCTTACAAAAACTGGGTGGGGCCATCAGTGGGCGAGGCATCACCGGCCAAGTCAATTTGGCATGGGGTCACAAAAGAAAAACAGAAGATGAGCTGTTTCAGCTAGTGAGGAAATGGGCGACAAAAAAGCAAGAGTAAGAAACAGCCCCAGAAAGTCTTTTCGTAACGGATGACCCTCAAAACCATAATCTGTTAATATACGACGTAAATCAGGATGGTTGGAAAAATACACACCAAACATATCCCATACTTGCCCACACACACACACACACCGTTCGATCATGATTGACAGAAGCGCATGCAATTCGGAAATATCAGTTAGGAAATATATTCACAATCGGGACCTTTTGTGATGCATCTGAGTGAATAGACAGCCAGGTTCATTCAGAAAACTTTTGGTGTGAAACGACAAAAAGTTGAAAAATGAAGATGCACGTGGTGGCGCTGACCTGAAGCCTTGGAAGGCTCCCAAACTTCAATGGCTCTACACCTTTCCAGAAGCTCTCGTCTTCAACAGACAACAATGCGATATCACACTCATGTCCGATCGCAAGAACCTGCAAAGATGAAACAATGAGAGGAGAAAAAGACAGGCAAAAAAGAACTAGTCAAAAAAATGACAAAAAATATATATATAAGCCAGTGAGAGAAGAAAGCAACAACAACAACAACAACAGAGCGAAAGAGCAGGTCCAAACTTATGTCCTGGAACAGATCCTCTAGGACCAGCCATTTCGTCAAAACGGACATTTTTATTATTATTATTGAACGAAAATGGAACCGGCTTATTTCAAAGAAACGATACATTTAAAAATTAAAAAAAAAAAAAAAAAAAAAAAAAAAAAAAAAAAAAAACACGATATGTGATTGCAGTGAACCTCTTGGTTCAACACCAGTGAGCGCACATATTCATACCACATGCATGTATGAGATCACACGAAGTTCACACTGGAGATGATCAGAGAGATAAAGACCAAGTAGCGCAGCTTATGAATCCAACAAGTTATTACAAAAGCAATAACAGTTCAAGTCACCAGCGCTCATCAGCGCATGCCAAAGGTAGCCAGTAACCAGCATAAACTCTCAAGTGCATGGGTCCAGAGACCATTATATCACGAACCAGTCATCCAGATGTCATGGTTACCAATGTACTCGTTACCTTAGACAAAGGTAGAAGAGAGATGTCCCATTCCCATAGACAAAGGTAGAGAAGAGTTCCCTGTCCCCCATAGACAAAGGTAGAGAAGAGATGCGTTGCCGCTGCTTATATTATCAAAAATGTCTGATTACATCAACTTCCAGTCTCTCAAGTTCATCACAACAGCTCATAAATCAACTCTGTTCATCATCACATCAATATGGAGACCAGCGCAGCAACATCATCATGTCGAAGTACAGCATTACTCAGGTAAGTGACATCTTCTCCTCTCTCTCTCTCCTCCTTACTTCTTCCTCTCTCTCACGGGCACATTATCTCTCTTGTCTCATGAAGATCTCGTTCAGAATACACTCACAGATAGAACACCA